AAACCTCTCTGTAGAGAGAGAGCTCATGTCACATCTCATTTAGGCCTGGGCTACACTACAAAGTTAGATTGACGCAAGGCAGCTCATGTCAATCTAATTGTGCATGTGTCTATATTTCAGTTTGGTTCCTACAGACGTAAGTGCCCTGTTGCACCGACTTAATAACATCGCCATCCCGAGCGGGATAGAGCCGAGTTTGATGTCCTTAGGTCAATGCAGTGATAGTGTAAATACTTCACTGCTTATGTTATCTGTTACTGTCCTCCAGCTGCTGTTCCACAATGCCCCACGCTGACTGCTCTGGTCACCATGGTGAACTCTGCTGGCCAGGGGTCACAGAAACCAGAAGCCTCCACTCCCACACCCTTTGAAGCCCTGCAAATTTTTGAAATTCCTTTTCTTGGGTACCCGGCTTGGTGGGCACACCTAGCAACTCTCCCTTGTCGAGTGCAACTGCTCAGCTGACATGCCAGCTACGCACTCCAGGCATGCTCCTGCCTGGAACAGACAGGAGATATTGGATCTTCTGGGCTTGTGGGGAGAAGAGGGCTTGTGCAGGCACAGCTCTGAACCAGGCATAGAAACATGGATATCTAAGAGCAAATATTATGCAAGTGAACAATGCCAGTGCCCCTTCCAATGAGCAAAAGGACATTCAACTGTCATTCTGCACCTGCTGAGCCTCTAATTGAAATATTCCTTGGTGCTGTCGAGGTGGCCGGTGTACGGCTTCATGAGACAGAGGAACAAGGGTTAGGTTGGGTCGCCCAGGATCACAACTGGCATTTCAACATTGCCAATGGTAATCCGCCAGTCAGGAATAAGGTCCCTGCTTGCAGCTTTCTGAACAGTTCTGTGTTCTTAAAGACGCGAATGTCATGCGTCTTCCCTGACTAGTCAACACTGATGTCAGTGATCCACTAACACTTGAATAACCACAGAAAAGCAAAAAGAACAGGAGTACTTGTGGCACCTTAGAGACTAACAAATTTCTTAGAGCCGAAGAAGTGGGCTTTAGTCCACGAAAGCTTATGCTCTAATAAATGTGTTAGTCTCTAAGGTGCCACAAGTACTCCTGTTCTTTTTACTTTTCTGTGGTTATTCAAGTGTTAGTGGATCACTGACATCAGTGTTGACTAGTCAGGGAAGACGCATGACATTCACGTCTTTAAGAACACAGAACTGTTCAGAAAGCTGCAAGCAGGGACCTTATTCCTGACTGGCGGATTACCAGTGGCAATGTTGAAATGCCAGTTGTGATCCTGGGCGACCCAACCTAACCCTTGCTCCCCTGTCTCATGAAGCCATACACCGGCCACCTCGACAGCACCAAGGAATATTTCAACTAGAGGCTCAGCAGGTGCAGAATGACAGTTGAATGTCCTTTTGCTCATCGGAAGGGGCACTGGCATTGTTCACTTGCATAATATCTGCTCTTAGATATCCATGTTTCTATGCCTGGTTCAGAGCTGTGCCTCCACAAGCCCTCTTCCCCCCACAGGCCCAGAAGATCCAATATCTCCTGTCTGTTCCAGGCAGGAGCATGCCTGGAGTGCGTAGCTGGCATGTCAGCTGAGCAGTTGCACTCGACAAGGGAGAGTTGCTAGGTGTGCCCACCAAGCCGGGTACCCAAGAAAAGGAATTTCAAAAATTTGCAGGGCTTCAAAGGGTGTGGGAGTGGAGGCTTCTGGTTTCTGTGACCCCTGGCCAGCAGAGTTCACAATGGTGACCGGAGCAGTCAGCGTGGGGTATTGTGGGACAGCAGCTGG